TTGGTAATGGAAATGTATGATATGTATATATGATGCTTTTTGACTGTGTATTATCTTCAAATTTATTTGTGCATTACTTCCTCATTCCCTAATACATGTTTTCTGAAAACATGTGGTTTTCATGATAATCAGGTTAAACTGCTACAAACATTGAGAAAGAATCTCTAAAAACACTGATGCCCAACCCTGGTAAGTTGTCAGTTATAGTATTTACCTTTTTAATCCTCTCATTGAAGTCTTCAAGTCTGTTTCTGTTCAGGAGTTGTCTTTGTTTTGGGGTTATGTTTATTGTTATTTGTTAAATCACTGATGATATTGCACAGGTGCATATACTGCTGGTCGCCCATTAGAAGATGCTGATTCACGAACTATTTTTGTCAGCAATGTAATAACCAATGCCCTTATCTATGTCCTCTCATGTTAGAAAAGCATATGCATTTCTTAACAATGTATTTATCTTTGTACTATTCATTCACAGGTTCATTTCGCTGCTACCAAGGATAGTCTTTCCCGGCATTTTAATAAGTTTGGTGAAGTGCTAAAAGTAGTGATAGTTACAGATGCAGCAACAGGGCAACCAAAAGGGTGAGCTAATTATATTTATATCATTTTCTCTGCTTTCTGTTGGCATAGTCAAGAAAAGGAGTTTTTGTTATCATTAGTACAAATATGTCTAATTCCAAACTTTCCTTGCTTCTTGTTTTCTTCTGTTTCTACTGGAGCCATTTTCATTACCCTGAAAAATTTCAGTTCTACTCATAATATTCAGGTTCAGCTAGTTTGGTTGAAAGAATGGATGAAAAAATAGATCTATGGTGGGACCAATGTGGGCTCTACATAGCCTAAATTTTTATTTTTTACAATTTTCCAAAAAAATTTAATCCTCTCATGTTGGCGCAGGTCAGCTTATGTTGAGTTCATGCGAAAAGAAGCAGCAGATAATGCATTGTCTTTGGATGGAACCTCATTTATGTCGCGGATCCTCAAGGTAAAAACTAATTGGCTGCAACTTGTATAGTCTTTTTTCAGGTTGTAGCTTCTTGTATAGTTCATTGAGGATTCTCAAATTTTTTCTTTTGCCTCAAGAAAATGATATGTAGATTGTAGTAGCTTAACTTATCAGACATTTCAGTAAGAAATATATATTTTTACATAAGAGGTTATAGATAATTCTTATCAATTTTTCATTTGATTTCAAATTTCTCCTTTTTGATGTGTTAGTGCATGCTACATTAAGAAAATGTGTTAGGGTATGCTAGACCGTGTTTGGGATTGTTTAAGAACCATGCTTAAAGTGCTTAAAGTGCAGTTGCTTAAAGCATATCAATTATTACGTGAAAATAAACAGGTGTATGTTGGAACAAAGTGCTAATTTTAAAAAATGAGATATTTTGATTAAAAATATATATTTCTTAAAAATATTTTGTGACTTGCCCTATTTTATTCGCATTTGTTAATTTTAAGATGATATCAAGAGGGCTACTTCTGTAAATTGTAGGCGAAGAAAATAAGAACCTAAAAAGTTAAGAATCCTTTTGGGAGCAAGATACTTATTTTTCATCTTCACTTTTAAAGAATCTAATGCGCACCTACATTTTGCTCAAATGCTAAGATTTGAACAAAGTTTTTAAAATTACTTAAGCTGCAAATAAGCAATCCCAAATGTTTCTCTAGTTGTCCTATAACAATTTGTGGCGAATTATACTCATGAATATATACTAGCACAAAACATACTTCCAGATTAAGTAGTCGCGAAAGACTGCAAAAAATTTTATGTTGTTTGGCAGTGTGCCTGCAGGCATGGAGCCAATTTTTACTTTCCCTTTTTTCAGTGCATTAAGGAGAAAACCAGTAGATGCCCCGTAATAAGGAAAAAAGTGACATAGCTCATATACAATTATACCATTCCTCCCCTGAGTTTTTGTAAACTCAATCTCGGACCATCAACCACATCTCAACATCATAGTGGTAAGACTTCCAAATATTTAGGGACTGCAGTATTCCATGTTTAACAGGATTTTAAAGGGGGTTGTTGGAGAGCCTGTTAGGATTTGTGGTGGTACTTGAGAAAGAATCTTCTTTTTTCCTACTCATTCCCATTCCCCTAATTGGGTCTGGTCCTCGTGCCCAATAAGAATTTTTCCGCAGGTTCATAGAGATAGAGGTATAATCTGGCTTTGCAAGCCTGGATGATTATATGTGCGATTGTTTGCAAGTTGGGTTTTTATTTAACTGAAGCAGACTTTTTTGTTGTTCCAATTCATTTTTTTTTTCAGGTTGTGAAAAGAAGCTCAGCCCAACAAGAAACTGCTCCCATCATGACATGGTCGCGTACTGCCCGAGGCTCTGCATATACTGGTGCAAGGTTTGCCAGAGTACCATTCCCACGCGGTGTTCCTGGTGTATTTAGGCCTCGACTGATGGTTAAACCTGGTGCCAGAAGTATGCAGTGGAAGCGCGATGCACAGGTTGCTTCTGCTGAGAGTGGTTCTTCTGGTGCTGGGAACAGTGGATCTATTCCTACTCCTCGTAGCCTAACGTATATCCGAACAGAGCCTAAATCAGAAGGTGTTCAAGTGCAGCATAACTTAGCCATTTAAATATTATTCAAACTGCTAGATATTGTGATTGCTCGAATTTTGTCCAATATGTCCGAGTCATGGTCATGCCAGATCTCATTGCCGCGGAGCAGACAGAAAACCATCAAATTCTTTTTTGTTTTGCAAATTTGATTCTACTGTACATGCAGATATTTTCTAGAATGAGAGGAAAATTCTGAAGAAGGATAGATTTTTGAGGCGTTTTCCATGATGAGGTCTGGATATAAGAGGAAGGGAATGCCATGAGATCATATAGTTTAGTTGCTTTAGTGCTATTCCTGCCTTGATATACCAGACCAGTTTAGAAATTGTTTATAGGTTGATGGTGGCTGGTTTCTTTTTATTTTTTTTTTTATTTTTCCCTTGTTGGAGTGTAAGTTTTTATGTTTTACTTTCTAATATAACTGGAAAAAAAAAAAAAGAAGGAAAAATAGAACGTGAATGGGGAAAAAGGAGGTGTTAAAGTAGAAGGGTAATTTTAATTCTTGTTCTGTCAAATTGATATCCACATGCATATCAGTAAGGATATTTTGTGTGTTGGTGGTGAGCATGTTCTGCAAGTCGGTTATTTAATATTTTCTCTCTTCCTACTCTTAACTCTGCTGTCAATCTGCCCCCTTAAGCCCTAAAACTCATCAAAACCTGTTTCCCAGTTGTCTGGTAGATAACAAGTTAATGATAGATTGTTCTCGCTTATTTCTCTTGGAAGAAAGAAGTGATTCTAAAAACATTATATTATTGGAGATGAACTTAGTTTGGTAATGTATTAGTTTAATTATGTGATTTAGGAAGATCAGCCCTATTATTGTTATTATTATTATTATTATTATTATTGTTTTGCTAGAAGATAATTAGTTCAATCTGACAATCAAGTTCAAAGGATGGATTTAAATGACTGAAAACTTGAACCTATCCTGTGGAATACAGAATTATTCAGATCAGTCAATATACAAAATAAATTACTTTTTTTTATAACCATTAGTCTTGTTAATTTTTGGATATGATAGATGATGTGATATTTTTTGCATTCATGGTGAGAATCTGTTTTAAAGTGATAAAAGCTGATATTATATAGAATTTTATACACAACTTTAACAATCTGTTTTAAATTCTCTCTCTCTCACATAAATTATGTCATTCTAGTAGAATCTAAATCTTTCTTAATTTAAAAACAAACATAAATTTGCAAATAAATTTCGTAAGATGTTAATTATTTTCCCTGGCAACAGAAGGGCATTCCTGCAAAGACTTGTAATATTATGAAGCTTTATGTATGAGGAACCCTAATTAGACCAGAGACCGATTCAGAAAGTATGGTGACTTGGGAGAATGACACGAAGAAATGTAATTGTATGCGAACCAATTAATCTTTAACCAAACTCCGTACTTATGATCCAAACTTTCTATTCAAGAAAAGCCACATACTTTAATACTCTCAAGCTACATGGGAATGTATGCAAGGAAAGAGGAAATCATGACAAGCCTGCAATTCTTTCCAACAGAATGGGTGGATTTGGCATTCCGTATGAATTCTTGAATTGAAATGGGAAAGTTCTGAAAACAAAAACTAGAATACGTATTTATGTACCAAACTGAGCATTACTCTGCCTTGTTCAGTCGTATACATCTCATCGATTCCCTTCTGACTGATCTTTCACTGTGAGTGAACCAAATAGCCTCATTTCTTTCTCTAATGTGAGTGCAATTCTATTTCAGAAAATGGGAAGATTCAGAAAATGAAAACAAGAAACGTATTCATGTACCAATTCGAGCCTTACTCTCTCTCATTCAATCATATATACCCCATCCATTCCCTTCTGACTAATCTTTCGCTGTGAGCAAACCAGATAACCTCATTTCTTTCTCTAATGTGAGTGTAATACGATTTCAGACAATGCAAAAATTCAGAAAATGAAAACTAGAGATGTATTTATGTACCAAATCAAGCCTTTCTCTCTCGTTCATTTCATATGCATCTCATCCATTCTCTTCTAACTAATCTTTCGCTGCGAGAATGAGACAAATAACCTCATTTCTTTCTCAAATGTGAGTGCAATTTGATTTTGGAAAATGGGAAAGTTCAGAAAATAAAACTAGAAACCTATTGATTTATCAAATCCAGCCTTACTCTTCCTCATTCAATCATATACATCTCATCCATTCTCTTCTGACTAATCTTTCACCGAGAGAATGAAACAAAAAACCCTCATTCCATTCTCTAGTGAGAATGCAACTCGATTTCAGACTGCAAAATGCGAACTCAGATTGCTCAGGTGACTTGACTGGCTTAATTTTGTTGAATGTCTATACTTCTCTCCTTCTATAAGTGATTGCGGGTTTGATACTTCTCTATTTCTATAAATGATTGTGGGTTTAAACGTTTCATTTTCAAACTAGTTGGTAAAACTCAGAAGATCTGCCATCCAATTCATTCATGACAATGAAGTGCATATCATATATACTGACGCTAAATCAGTTATTCAACTTCATGAAAATTGCATCAAAGAAGTCATAACAATAGATTCAGAGAGTTCATTTAGATAACAAAGCAAACACCAATCCGATTGACAAGCCAACAATACACAAAACAGATGCTCCACGAGCACGAACAAAGAAAATATTCAAATTCTTAGCAACCTGAAGAGTCAAAGTCAGAATCTGCAGCCTACCTTGCTCCTCCATTTTCTTGAAGAAATACATTGGTTTTAACGATTGACGCAGCATAAACGCCAAAGTAAATGGAAACCCAAAAGCCAAAAAGCTCTGAACAGATACTTCCATGATTGGGGATGAGCGAGTGATGTAGGAAATCCAAGCTCCTAATCCTAGTTGAGCCAGACCCAGAAGAGCTATCACTCTGCTTAAGGTATAGACGTTCTTCATCATCCCTTCAAGAACTTCTCTTGTCTCGCTGGCCAATGCGGACAGGTCTCGTTCAACCGTTGGTCCCTCAATTTCTTGGTGCTTAAAATTCGGGTTTTGACTCGGATACTCGCTCGGGTTTCGGGTTTTAGGGTTCTCGGGATTCTCAGATTCTGATGGCGAACCTGATGGACTGTTGTTCTTCAAATTAGGATCGGAACTGGAATATGATCTAGCAAACCGAAGACTAGGAGTTGAAAGCTTGCGATCAAGTACAGCTAGGTTCTTAAATTCATCCATTTTACTAAACTGTTGCTGGTTCTGGAAATCAAAAGATGAAATCGATGCCCAAAAGATTCTGGGTTGCTCACCGGAAAGCAAATTAGAGTGATCATTTCTGATTTCGGTGTTAATTTTAATGGGTTTTGGGTAAAAACTTGAGCGAAACTGAAAATTGGCAACGTGATCGAGAAGTGAGGGATAGAACTCAGGGATTTGGGGTTTCAGATGGGAGAAAGTAGGATTAGTCGAGAACTGGGTGGTGGTAGGATTAGGGTTTTGCGGTTTATCGGATGTAAAAAGTGCTGATGACAGGAAAAAGGAAGAAGCTTGAGAAGGTTTAAGCAGACGACGAGTAAGTCTACGTGGAATCATCATCCCTGTCATTTTTCTGGTGAACAAAAGAAAAGCTTCTTCTGTTTTAAGAGGAAGAAGAAGAAGGGATTCGGTAGGTGTTGGGTTACATTAGACTATTAAAAAATTAATTAAAATTATTTAAAAAATATATTATTAAGATATTTATCTACTTAAAAGTTTAAATTTTGATAATATTAAATTTTTTTATTACATAAAAATTAAATTTAAAATATTATTATCCATTAATACATTATACATATAAAAAAATTTAATTGCATTTTCTATCAAGTTCACAGAAAATTTATATCTCACGTAATAATTTAAATTTTAATTTAATATAAAGTCTCTCATAAGTAACAAAAATATAAGTATTTAAAAATTTTATAAAATAAATTATAATAACATTTGAAATTCTTTAATATATATATATATATATGAAAACAAGACAAGATGATGGGCCGCAGCCCATAATATTCCAGTCCCTTCTTTTCAAATTCTATCCTAGGCGGTTAACGTCCCCGATCGCCGACGACCGGAAACCTACTCAAAGCTCAAGATCAAGCTCAAGCTCGGGGTTCATGTCTTCCCTCGAGCCTTCAGTGCCCAATCAATTAAGCAACAACCGTGATTATCCTGCAGGTTTCTTCGTTGTTTCTAATTTTTTTTTTTTTTTTTTTTATCTTAAGTTTGATTTCATTGCTTTCTTTACTATAGTAGTTTCTTCTATTGTTAATGGACATTGTCAGGACCAAACAGCAAGTTCAACTCTGTGGACTGTGTTTGCAATCCCTCAATCTTTTTCTTTTAATTTTATTTTTGTTGAGGAAGCAATCTTCAATTGTTTTCCTGCACAACATTTTCAATCAGTCGGGAATCTTCGATTCATATTTTCCGGGATGTGGTTTGTTTTTGCGAGCTAAACTCTTCAGTTGTTTTGATTTAATTTTTGGCACCGAATTGTAATGAACTATATAGGTCGAATTTTAAGTTTCTGTACAGCCAAGTTAATTCTTTACTTGTTTGCATTGAATTTTGAGTATTTAATATTTGGTGTAATTTATTTGGAAATTCCTTCCTAAATTAAGTAGAAGAAGTAAAAAAATAAATATCTAAAATGATAACAATTTGAGTCTAAAAAGTTCTAAGTGGAATTGGAAAGATGCATTTTAAGTTTCATCAAAATAAGATTTTATTTCTTCTAACTAAAAGAAGTCTAAATTTCTAAACAAGCTTTATAAAATTTTTTAAATTGTCTCAAGCGTAACTTGAAAAGTGTCTGAAAGAAATGAACAATGAGTTTAGTTAATTTCCATTTCTTTGCATCTTCGGTAGCTCATTTCTACTGTAATTGTACATTGGTAGTTTTGTTTGTATTATATGTTTCAAAGTTAATTATCTTTTGCAATGCCATGATCTGTTCCGAAATTTCTAGATTTTGATGGAATTTGAAATTTTGTTATTAAGCTTGAACATGAAATTCCAAGTATAAGACTAAAAGTTATAAATGAATTCCTAAATACATGCCAAGTATTGAGGTTTAATTTCCAGTTGATACAACAGGTTAGATGTGGATGGTGTTGTTTCGGGTCCCATCAAGTTACTTACTACAAAATCATTAAAGTTTCCTGTTAAATCTCTTCACAGTTATTGGCTTTGTCATTGAAATGCAGTGAAAGGATTAGTCCCTTTATTTTTTAACCTTACCTTTTATGCTTTATGTTGCTTGAATGAGTCTTAGGGAGAGACCATTCAGGTTTATTGTTATGTAGAAAAAATCCTAATTTTTGTAGGCTGACCATATATTCTATTTTTGTTCATTAAACGGTCTAAGTGCTATATTTGTTCATATATGATTCACAGTTTTTTGTTGATGATGTCTCTGCAGGCCCCTTCTCAGCTTGTTCATATGATCCTAATATGTGTCTCATGAAGTGAGGCAACTTCGCAATTGGTGAAACTAAAATGGCTACAACTTTACATGTTGGTGTCATAAGGGACATATATCAGTTGTATGCTCCAATTCAGTAAATCTTTAAAATGATAAGTTTACTCTGCAAAACAAAATGGCTCACCCTCATGAGGCTTCCTGCTGTTGTCTCCAAACAGAACTGTTATATTATCCAGTTCCAACCTCCCATTAGATCAATTTGTAAAGTCCTATCCCCCCCAAGCCATCCCTACTCTTTCACCATATCTGATATTATAGAAAGACCCCGTAGGTTTCCCATCCCTGAATCAGTAATTGCTAGATTTCAATCCTCAAAGAATCCTAAATTGGTCCTGAAATTACTCCAGGATCATAACTTTTCTGAAAGTCAGGTTAAAGTCCTTGTCTCACGGTGACCACTCGTCCTGTTAGCCAAACCGGATAAAACTTTACAACCCAAAATTGATTTTCTCGTATCGGTGGGATTATCACGACAAGATATTGTCAAAATAATCATTCGTGAACCTTTTGTGCTTGCTAGAAGCCTGAAAGGACATATTATCCCTGTATTTGATTTCCTTGAAAATCTATTTGGCAGCAAAGAAGATGCAGCTATAGTTTTTAAAAGGTGCCCATTAATCAGCCGCTACACTGTTAAAAATTACTTGGCATTGAATATTGCAACCTTGCGCGATGTTGGTGTACCTGATTCCCGGATTTCAAAATTGGCCATCCGTTGTCCTTTTATGATTATGACACAACCACATCGTTTAAAGGCTGCTGCAGCTGCTGTTAAAGAACTGGGGCTCAATCCAAAGTTGTCCGTCTTTGGCATTGCAGTTACTATAATGGGCTGGTCTAGCAGGTCAAACTGGGAAGCAAAATTGGATGTTTTCAGGAGCTATGGCTTGTCTGATGAGGAGATTTATGCAGCATTTAAGAAGCAGCCGATGTTTCTAACATTGAGAGAAAAGAAGGTGAGAGTAACGATGGAGTTCTTTATCAAAAAACTGTGCTGGAGCCCATCAAAGTTGTTGACAATGCCTGGTGTTCTGCTGCTGAGTTTAGAAGGTCGGATTATTCCTAGGTTGTCTGTTTTGCATGTTTTGGTGTCAGAAAAGTTGCTAAAGAAGTGTCCATCAATTAATTCAATGTTGAAGATAAGTGAAAAAAGTTTTGTGCAAAAATTTATGGTCAAATATCATGATGAATTTCCTCTAGTTTTGGAGGCACACCATGGTAGCATGAAAATCGATGAGTTCAATTTAATACCAAAGAAAAACAGTTGTGATGGGCATATTGTAGGATGCTAGAAGCATTGGTTGCTTTTGAATATTTTGTGTTTGTAATGCTGGCATTTTTTAATCTATTATACCTTTTTTTTTTTGCATATATAGTTTATGCCTAAATTCATGTCATCGAAGTCTTTAGTCTGGGCAAAGAGAATGTCGTGTTGGATTGCACACTAATTTTGATTTTAAATAATACTTTCATTATCTCTTACTTAAAATAAGTACTCTCACTTTGCAATTGAATCCACACTAATTTGTTCCTAATATAGCCTAAAATTTCCAAATTTCAAAATATTGTGGTCAATAAGAGTTCGTAAATTCTCAAACAGTTTTTTAAGTTTTCTTATTTTTTTATTTATTTTGCATGTACCTAGAAAGTTATAAGTTAATAGGTTATAAGCTTAGTAACAGCATTTTCAAAATGCTGTTCAATCTTTGAACAATTCTGTTCCAAAGTTTATATGTTAGATGATTGATCACTGAATGCCCTGAATGAAGTCAAGAATATTGGAATGTGATGGGTACCTCCACAAACTTGCAAGCCACTGTTTGCAGCTATACACTAAAAAGGTGGATGATGAGCAAATGGTGAGGAGGTTGGACCAGTGGCTGAGTATGTCTGCGTTTCACAAGAGCAAACTTGAGAGGAAAAAGGTGGATGGAAAGTTTCGTTGAGGAGTCGATTCAGAAGATTCCAGATGGGATGCAGACAAGTCTAGACATGTGTGAAGGTGAAATTGTTTTTGACCGGGAAGCTAGTTGTCTGCATCTATACTACTCTAACAAAATTACTGTTGTTGACCAAGATAAAGTTTGACGTTTTAACATGCATGCTAATGAACACAACTAGCTTGGAGGCTGTTGTAATCTGATTATCCGGATTTGTGGTTGAATATCAGGATGAATTTTGTGAATATTAAATGTCAGGATGAATTTCCTCAAAGTGTTGGAGGCATAGAAAGGTATTGTTTCACATACTATCAGAAGAAACAGTCATTGGCATGCTACATTTCAAATTTATATCTAAGGCTTATCCTTCCTTATCTCTTTGTCATTGTATTATATGCTTAAATTTATGTCATAAAAGTCTTCAGTCCTGGTAAACTCAATGCTGCCTAGTAGATGTCAGCACAGTATTTCTTGACTCTATTTTATGCTTGATTTGTGCAATATCTTGATGCTTACATGCTATCAGATTCACTGATTCAATAGCAAGACGAGGAGAGATTGATTCGATGGCTTTGAATTCATTAGTTGTTTGATCTTGGTGATTGAT